ACTCCCAGGTATTTATCTTAGAAAAATGAAAATATATGTTTGCACAGAAACCTGTATACAAATGTGCATAGCAGCTCTATTTGTATTAGGAAAAAAAAGTGAAAATAATCCAAATGTCCTTCAACAGGCAAATGGTGCATCCATACACTGGAATACTATGCAGCCACGGAGGAATGAACTATTGATACACTCAAAAACTTGGATGGATCTGAAGGGTATTATGTTGAGTGAAAAAAAGGCAATCTCAGAAGGTTATATGCTGTATAATTCTACTTGTATAACATTCTCAAAATGACAAAACCCTAGAAATGAAGAACAGATCAGTGGTTGCAGGAATTAGTTAGGGGGAAGGTTTGACCATAAAGGAGTAGCATGAGGAAATTTCTTTTTGGTGAAAGAAATTCTGTGGCAGTGTTTATATAAGACTATTTGCATATTGCTTGCATGCAAGTTAAAGTTCAACCTGAAGAAAACTTAAAGAAGTCCATGAGAGCCAAAGTACAACCTTGATTAAATCCCAGTGGAATTTAAAGCCCATTTGAAGAACAGATTTAGTGCACTGAAGACCAATGAGTGAAGACCAGATAAAGAATATCATACATGAAGAAAGCAAAAGGTCATTTAAAAGATAGAAAAGGAAGAAAAACCCTAAATAAATGTCAGAAGAGACTTTGAAACTTACTCTTGAACACAGAGTAGCTAAAGCAAATAGAAGGAATGATGAAATAAAACAGCTGAACAGAAGATATAAAAGGGCAGCTCAAGAAACAAAGTACAGTATTAAAATGAAATGTGCAAAGACATGGAGATAGAAAACTAAAAATGAAGAACACAGTCAGCATTTCTTAAGCTGAAAGAACTGAAGAAAATATTCAAGGCTGGTTGCAATATTGAAGGATTCTCTGGGCAAAATATTGAACAATGCAATAATAATAATAAAAAAAAAGATGAAAGAAATACAGTGTCACTGTACCAGAAAGAATTGATTGACATCAGCTATTTCAGGAGGTAGCATATGATCAAGAACCAATTGTATTGAAGGAAGAAGTCCAAGCTGCATTGAAGGAACTGGCGAAAAACAGGTTCCAGGAATTGACGGAATACCCATGAGATGTTTCAACAAATGGATGAAGTGCTAGAGGTACTTACTTGTTTATGCCAAGAAATTTGGAAGACAGCTACATGGCCAACCAACTGGAAAAGATCTGTATTTGTGCCCATTGCAAAGAAATGTGATCAAACAGAATGTGCAAATCATTGACTGTATCATTAATATCACATACAAGTAAAATTTTGCTAATGAAAATTAAAAAATGATGGCAGCAATATATTGGCAGGAAACTGCCAGAAATTAAGCTGGATTCAGAAGAGGGCATGGAAAGAGGGATGTCATTGCTGATGTCAGATGGATTTTGGTTGAAAGCAAAGAATACCACAAAGATGTTTACTGTGTTTTGTTGACTATGAAAAGGCATTTGATTGTGTGGATCATAACAAATTATGGATAACATTGCAAAGAATGGGGACTCCAGAACACTTAATTGTGCTCATGGGAACCTATGGTTAGACCAAGAGGCAATCATTTGAACAGGAAAAAAAAGGGATACTGAATGGTTTAAATTCAGGAAAGGTGTATGTTATGATTGTATCTTTTCATCATACTTATTCAATCTCTATGCTGAACAAATAATCCGAGAAGCTGGATGTGATGGTTTTGTTTGTGTGTCAATTTGGCTAGGCCTGGTTGAGTGGCTGAGCAGCTGGCGGTAGTTATTCCCCATGATGAGACTGGCAATCAACTCCATGGTGGGATCTACCACAAGCATCTGAGTAGCTGCCTTTGGGAATGTGGTCTGCTTCCTGTATTTAAGAAGAAGCCTTGGGAATGGTCTCTAGCCTATGGCACGCTTGGACCCTGCATGTAGCCATGTCGTTGCTCAGCAGCCTGCTATGCTATGCCGACCTTGGGACTTACAGTTGTTGTTGTTGTTGTTATGTGCCATCAAGTCGGCCCTGACTCATAGCGACCCCTCCTTGGGTTTCTGAGGTGGTATCACTACAGAAGTAGGATTGCCCAACTTTCCTTCGGAGGAGTGGCTGGTGGGTTTGAACCGCCAGCCTTCTGGTTAGCAGTCAAGTGCCTTAGGCACTATGCTACCAGAGCTCCTGCCGTGTGGTACGGTAACATCGGGACTGTGCCTTTTTACTTGTCAACCTTGGAGCTTCTCAGCCTCATTAGCCAGCAGCTGTCTGAGTGAAGAAATGCCTCTAGCTCCAGTGGGCCAGGAGCAGGAGGCAGAGCTGGACCCCAAGGTTGAGGGGTTTTCACCCAGCCCCTAGAGCCTGGCACTTTGATCTTGGACTTAAAGCCTCCAAATTATAAGAATAAACTCCTGTTTGTTAAGGCCATCCCATTTGTGGTATATTCCTGTCAGAGCTGCACTAGGTAACCAGAACACTGGACAATATGAAGAAGAATGCGGCATGAAGATTGGGGGAAGACTCATTAACAACCTGCAATTATGCAGATGACACAACCTTGTTTGCTGAAAGTGAAGAGGATTTGAAGCACTTACTGATGAAGATGAAAGACTACAGCATTCACTATTAGATTACACCCTCAGCATAAAACAAAAATCCTCACAACTGGACCAATAAACAGCATCACAGCAAATGGAGAAAAGATTGAGCTTGTTGGGGATTTAATTTCACTTGGATCCACAAACAATACCCATGGAAGCAGCAGTCAAGAAATCAGATGACGTGGTGCATTGGGCAAATCTGCTGAGCAAAGATGTTACCTAACCTAAGCCATAGTATTTTCTTTCCTTTTTTTAAAAATTGTGATTTGGGTGAAAGTTTACAGAGCAAATTCACCTTCCATACAGCAGTTCACATAGGCTTTGTTTCATGCCATTGACTACAATTTACCCCAGTGCAACAGCTTCCCTCCCACTTCCTCCCAATAGTTACCTCTTCCCTGTGTCCATCCCTCCATGCACTCCTGCCCCCTGAGCTGTCTCCCTGTGCACAAACAGCCCTTCTTT